GCATTTCATACCCCTTCCCTGCAGGCTCCGAAACCCGGAAAAAAACCATTTACATCGAAATCCGGGATATTTTGCTCGGATATCAATGGGAATGGGTCTTTCCGGGCTTCGGAACCTGGGGAAAAAACATTTCCATCACAATCCGAGAAAAATATCCCGGATTTCAATGTAAATGGTGTTTTTTCCGGGTTTCGGAGCCTGCAGGAAAGGGGTATGAAGTGCAGGACAGCAGGGAAAAACGACTCGGGGTTGCTCCGGGGCTCGGAAACTTTCAGAAAAGCATGTCAAACCAGGCGATTGTCATTTTCAAAAAAGAATGTTTACTCGTGAGTGAGATATGGATAGAGTGCAAGCAACTGCAAGCGTCAACGACAACGAAGACAACTACGGCTACCCTCAGCTTGATATATTAATATGATGACGCTTCGGAAGATATGCCCTACGGCTCGATCGTGAGGATTATCCTTCACTTAGTCTATGAGCAAGGCTTAGTTATATCATTGTGCAACTTCTCGATCAGGAAACCATCAGAATGATCCTGGGTCTTCAGTCTTCAGGCCCATCCACCTCCTTGAGAGATTCTACCCTCCACCGGACTCATCAGATGAGACTTCCCCATGAGCACCGGCTGGAGGATCAATTCCGCGCTGCCGTTGGACACCGCAAATCTCTCACCCTCGGGTCGGGAGTCGGGAACGAATGCAACGTTGCAACTATGACTTATCCTGTCGACATGCCTTGGCGTAGCTAAAACGATTTTCCGAGCAATACCGCGGCATACGGAAGGGGGACTTCGCTGCTATTTGCAAGAGCACGTGCTCTAGGATACTTCCCTGCGGCTGGATTGCTGGATCAAATTGATTCGAAAGATGAGAAAGTCATCCGTAACAGATACGTTCAACTGCGCGCAGCGCGGAGAAGACTTGAGCATTCCTCGATCGAATCCCAGGAATTGACCTCCGTCAATTCCTGGGATTCAATCTCGGCAGTTGTTGAAATGTCTCGAGCTTCCAGATGCTCCCCGAGAACTGTTCCCATTGACTCGTGGATGATGACTGACGACCTGATGCTCATAATAGGTAAGATCAATGATATCTCGACTGGGGTGATCCGAAGCCCTTCTTAGCCACTCGCTTTCTCCAGTTGCGCTATCCGGAGCTCTGGACCTCCCGAATACCAATCTTTCTTGAGTTTCAGGGCGTTTCTCCTGGATTGGTATTTTTTAATTCGAAGCACCAGCGCAAACGAAATTCATCCATTTGTCAGCTCCACACTTTTTCCCCAACCGCCACCGGGTCTCAACATGCCGGAATCCAAAATTAGGCTTCCGGGAAGTGGCCAGAGGGAACGCAGACGCCAAGTACGTCTGACAGTGAAAATGGGGCAGAAGGAAATTTAGAGTCGAATATTCAGTGGAGGAGAATTAGCTCTCCGACTGTGGTTGCACCGACAGGGAAACAAGCTCCGCGAGAAATTGAGGAGCACAAACGATCTCCCGAACCCGGTGAAATTCGCGATCTCTTAGTGTTCGCGATGTGAGAGATGACCGAGGGTACCATAAGTCTGGAGCAGAACACCGAGCTGGGGAATCCCCGGGGAGCATAGTTCTAGATACTGATTATTGGTATCCTGAGAAGAATATCGCGTCAAGATCGAATAGTATACTCATACGTTCATCGGGCTCTACGCCCTCGGGAGCTTCTGTTTATGAATCATGCAGCACGCGGAATGAGGTGCATCCGTCAGCAGTTGCTAGCACGACGACATGCGTCGCGTACGCGTCTCGGGCCACGGACTGCGACCGGCTGATGATGCTCCGGTGCTGAAACCGATAGTTCTCGTTTACCTATGTTGGTGGAGATTGGATTTGTGAAAAATGCGCCGGAAGGGTATCATCACCTATCGATCCGTTCGCGGTATGTTCTTCCCGGGCAAGAACGCTCGCGCAGATTCATCTTGCGTTCCGGAAGTCGAAGGGAAACGTAGCGGTTTGTGAAATCGGATCCGATCCGTGGTAGAGCAATGGGCACATAAATCCACAGTGCCTTTCTCCTTCATCTTGATGAGTCCATGAACGCTTCAACTTAGTCCTGATTCGGAGAGAGGTTTCGCGTTCTTTCCGGGCTTCCGAACCCGCTCGTAGATATCTAATCGATTATTATTGAGAATTATGTTCGAGATATGACAAGTTATTCTCCTTTCAGGGTGCTTGAGACTCGCCGATCGGGATTCCCGCTAGAACTGTATCTTCTTGTCTATAATTTGGATTTTCATAAACTTCGACTACTTCGCCTCGCCAATTTCCCGTCACTGGTTCTCTTCCGCGAGAGAAATGATCTCGGACGATTTTCACGCCAGAGTGCGAGGAGTCCTCTCCATTCTGCGCTCCTCCCCAGCATACCTGCATTCCGATAGTAATTTCTGATCTCCCAGTGCTTTCCAGACTCATCCGTTCCGGACGATTCTCCCGGTTGGGAGTCTGCCGGCGATTTCCGCGTTCCGGAGGCGGAGGTGAGGCTCTTCATATACTCCTGTCAGTCGTCTGTCGCGATTCAGCTCCGAAATAAGGGATGAGGAAGCGCAATTGGGAGATTTCTGATTCATCTAACGACGAATATTTCTCTGCAGTTGACTCCGATTCAACGGAGATTAGTGAAACTTGGAGTGACTTCTTGCGGAGAGCTCCGTCAAATGGTGAGTTACGCGAATGCGCTTTCGAGAGACTCCCTCCATGTCTGATGATGTTTTGCCTCCCTAAGGAGACACGCCTCCACCTATATATGTATACAGGAATACCTCGCATAGTGCGGATTTCGGGACCGCTCTTCTCAAGTCTCCGGTGATTCAAGTCAGCACTATTAGAGTCAGAGGGTCCGCACTATAGAAAACAACATACTGTGGATCCGATTAGCCGTATTGGAATCCGCATTATTCGAGACGCAGTGTCGGCACTATTAGCATGCGCACTGTCTGATCCCCATAGTGCGGACCCTCCGCTCAGCATAGGGCGGATTCAGATAGTGCGGGCCGCAGTATCGAAATCCGCACTATGCGAGGTTATTCACTTTTCGGGGGAGTCAGATTTCAACAGAGGTACTCCTCCACACACATGTCCCCTCTGGGCCAAGCGGATGAAACTCCGATCCATTGCAGGCGAAGAAGAATTTGATGGAGTCTTCGCACATCGGCCATGAGAGTGGGAGAACAACGCGGATGAGCTCACCAGCCTGGGATGAAGCGATCTGACTGAACAGCCGGGGACCCCTCCGAAAATCATCGTGAGGAGTTCGCGCTTACGTCCACGTTGCTTAGATATGCAGCTGCTGTCGGAGGCTGCGCAAAGTCCCCTTCGGGATCCGGATGCGTTGTCTCACTTCTCGGAGCTCCAGTTCGAGACTTATTGTTTTTATTTCAATGATGATGGTAGTGGAAGAAAAGGCGGAGTGAAGGCTGTGAATTGTGTTCAGCCTACATGCTCGCTCGTGAGTCGCCTATTCAATCCTATCTAGGAGCGCCTCGCATCGATATTCCGGTTCTGCGTGTCCGAAGGAGATGTTGCGGAAAGTAGTGCGCGACTGATCTTTCGGATGGACCTTTTCTAAATGATAAATGTAACTTAATTTCGAAGGGTATCCTTCCGTCTCGATATACATATAATAGTATGAAAGAACAGCAAATGTCTTCTCTGATTTTCCCTTGGTGAATGGATTGTGATCCCAATCAATTACTTCATCGGAGGAGAGCGGTCGTGAGGTTTCGAAAACAAGAGTGGATTGCAGGTCGTTATCCGGGCATCGGCGCTAGAGTCTCGGTCGTAGAACAAATGCAATTCCGGCGGGGTGGATCGAAGCACCACGGAGCGAACTGGAAAAATATCGCTCGTCTGACCTGAGGGTACAGGATCTGATGAATGAGCCCGGAAATCTCGATCAGGTCGAAAATGTGATCGGAAAAGCTGAATGCCGAAGATTCACCCAACGAGACCGCCCGCGGAAGTATGCACCTAAGCTTTATAGTATGACCGTCTACGAGACTCGAGCAGGCCTGAGAGCTCAGACCTTTCCCCAAGATCGTCCGTAGGGTCCGACCAGATTGCTGCCGTGGAAACCGGTCGGTCGATGATTGTACCGACACTCAGCCAGTATTCCTCATAAGACCCCTCCTCTCATCGTCAGATGGAGCCTCCAGCGTGTCCCTGAGAAGGTCACAGGCCAGTTCCATGGAGAACGATACGCTCCTAAAGTTGGGCCCGTTAGATTCCCGAGCCCACGGTAAGATTCGGGATTTCGAAAGGGAGCAGCGAATTTTCATCCGTGTACTAATCAGTCGGTGCATTCCAGTCTGAACTCCCAACGGAGCTTCTATGGATAGACTGGCATGCCCTCCAAGTGATATTGGGAAATCGGCCTCCATATTGTCGCTTCCGCCTCGGCTTATACATATCGCTCCTATAATCGGCTCGGGATTGATTCCATGCGCGAAGCACCAACCGTTGAGCGAACCTCCACAGTGTTGCCGTGTGCACATTGGGGGACTTTCGAGGGGGAAAGATACGCTCCTTCCATCCGTCATCCATTATCCAACCGCGAATCGCCGAGATTCACGGATCCCTGGGCGCAATTCAGGAAAAAGCTCATACGGAGCACCATCGCGCAGCTTGGGGATCCTCGAATCAGACCCCGATCGGGAGCTCATGGTGAGAGGAACGATGCGACAGAGATCCGGAACAAGTGATTCGATTATCGAGCGCCACTCGTACTCATTCTTCCCGGGTCATCGAACCAAAGTCCCAGGTCGAGCAGGAATATTTTGCGACCGATCTCCAAACAAGAATACATGAAGAATTATGTCATACTTGTGAGTACAGCACACCAGCCGAGTCGCCGAAGCAATTTCGGCTCAATCAGTCGAAACATGTCATGGCCCTGGACATAATCATCTCATGAACAACATCAGTGAGTGAGGCTTCTGATATCGCTACCCTAGTCGTCAATTAATGCTGATCGTCCCGCGAGGCGAGAGTCGTTCCCTGACGGCCGTAAACCGTGAAGCTCGAAAAAAAACGAATCATGATGCTATGGCAGGCCAATCAATGAGCATATCAGGTAGACACAAAGTTGCAATATTTCGATCTCAACTGCGATGACAGATGCCCGTCCGCGGAAATATTTCTATTTTGATTTGATTGAGATCGTTAGGTTTCGATCAGTCAATATTTTTTTCCGGACATAACCTCCGTCCTGGGATTTCTCCAGGAGATCCTCAAGGGAACAAGATACCGAGAAAGATGGGCGAACTTTGAATATGCTGTCTGGAGAAGACGAAGGACTCGTAAGTCATAAGGGACGTAAACTCCCCGAGATCGTATCGCATGACGTAGAGGCAGAGTATGTCGGGGGAATGTCTCGACCCCGTAAGCAAGGGCGCGGAGGGACAGGAATAGACCGTTCTCCACTTCAGACCAGCGAGAACAACAGCCAAGTAAACAGCGGTCAGAGAAGAGTATAGGGACCCGGGAGGGTCCGGAGCAGTGGACATCGGTCGGAGCTCTGGGGAGAGAATGCACGGGGCAGATGGCCGAGGGGATGGGTCGGGAGCATCGGCTGCTCGCCGAGATAGAAATGCGAACGGAGAAGGACGAACATGTCGGGAGACAACGCGAGGGGTAGGGGGGACAGGGGGGGTCACCGTCAGAACAGGGAGGCTCCGAAGCTGCATCGAACTGAAACGAGAGACGGGTTACTGCCGGACGGCCCAGCGGACCGGTGGCTGGGCGGCGAGACGGGCTCGCCCTCGGATAGACAGCACCGGCAACCAAGGGAAAAAGACGAGGGAAAATACCCTCTGAGGAGGGAGGTCTCGCCAGTGAGTGTCCCTCATCCCGAGACAACGACATATTGAAGTGTCGCCCAGGCTCCCTCCGTGTGTGTGAGATTCCGGGTGTGTGTGCATGTCTCCGTGTGTGCGTCCGTCCGGTCGGCCGTTCTTTCGTTGGTCGCTGTGCGTGTGTGAGTCCCGCGAACGAGCAGTGGATGCCGCGTAGAGGCGGGCAAGCAACCGAGCCGGGCGGGTTTCTCGAGGCCCAAGAGCTCCGCCCGCGGAACGGTCGCAGCGCGCCTGGTGGTGGTTTTCGGAAGTTGTACGCGGCGACATCGATGTCGGTAGTCGAGCAGAGAGCAACCGTAGCCTGTAGAGGACAGATGTGAGTGTGCAAAGTATTCGATTACTGAATGAATAGTGTTTTGTGACCGGAGACGTCTCGTTCATCGATAGGGTTACGTAATCGGTCCCATTTTCTCACCGCCAAATTCTGACGGACCTCCAATCGAGCCGTTTCCGATCGAGGCAGAAGAGGGGACTGCTTCTCCACTGGATTGAGAACGGACGGAGAACGGTGCACATGTTGTGGATGGTCAGGAACACTACGCCGATCATCACAGTACTGTGAACAGAGTTCTAGAGCTGACCCGTTCGCCTCAGAGAATTCGCCTCTGTGACTCGCAGCCACTCCGGCTGTGTTTGAGCCGAAGTGCAAGTTCGGAAAACTCAACATGTGGCCGCGCAGTGTGTCACTTATCGACGCCGGACGACTCGACAGCAAGAAAATGAGCGAGCAGGCCCGCGAGCCAAACAGAAACAGGAGAATCGTTCCTGAGAGTGCCGTCGTGAACCAGTAGTCCTGCTGAAGGGGCCCTTATCCACTGGGAAAGGTGCAATAGAGAGGGGTCCAGGAACAGAGACCTGAGGGAGCTGGGAAGAAGGAGGTGCAGTTCAGAACCGTAACGTTTGCACCAGCTGTGGTGAGCTCGCCAAACGAAGTCAAGACAGCTGTTCCGTCGACGATCACCACAGTTCCAGCGAGTAGAAGCCCCATGATCCCCCTCTGACCACAGCAGCCATTCTGGGAGTTGACCTCCGGGATTACGATTGCTGTTCAGCTTGTTTAATTACCAAAACCTTCCCCGTGAGTAGGAGCTCACGAGCGAGATCGTCATCGAGACTACTCCGAATATCCCTCATCGCTCCAAGTCCGGAGCGTCCAACTCGCGAAACTTCAACCATGAAGATGGTCCAATGCGCGGGCTGCGAGCGACCCATTCTCGACCGATTCTTACTGCACGTACTGGATCGATCGTGGCACGCTAAATGCGTACAGTGCAGCGATTGCCGCTGTAGTCTCAGCGAGAAGTGTTTTTCGCGCGACGGCAAACTCTTCTGTAGGAGCGACTTTTACAAGTGAGTGAGCTCTTTATCTCCACGGGTAGCTATCGATTTCATCGGGGAGGATATTCCGTTTTTTCCTCATTCTCGAGGGCATAAGACAGAGGGGGACCACGATCACCAGATTCGATGCGGCTGAACCGATGAGTGTCACGACGGACCGAGACGAAAACAGTAGCATTGTTTGAATATGTCGTGACTAGGAAAATTATTGTGATTGTAGAGTCTATGACGATACTGATGGTGTTGCCCTTGAGGCTGAGTTTGTTTGTGCACCTGCTCGCCGAATTCTGCAAGATGTGCGACATTGGTTGACAGATGTCATGCATCGCAAACTCACACATCAAGTCGCAACACTCCGGCGGAACAGCCTGGAGCTCCGAAACTGGTCGGGAAGCAGACCTGTGCTGCAGAGGAGAGCAAATGTGGAATCCTCTGGCTGGGAGACACTCCAAGCAAGCATGTGGGCTGAATTCGTACTTGGAGATATCCTGATGTTGGAAGAATCATTCAGCGCCGCCGTTCCTCCTTTTCACAAGCATCAGGGAGCGCTATTGCGTGTCGATGGGAGCGGGAACGATTGTAGAGCGAGAATAACCGGAAGGAGGGCGGGTGTACTGACAGGGGTAGAGCGAAGAACACCCGCAACAGAAGTCGACAGGGAACTCTCGTCGATAGAGAAAGCTGTATCAATCTCCGTCTCCGATTCCGGTCAACTGGCTCATCGGCTGATCTCTAAGCTTTTTCGAACACATGCTCGTTCATCGATATACGAGCGAGTTCATGATTTCCATAAACCGGAAGGGAATATGGAATTAGGGAGCCCGTCGCGCGACTCCTCTCGCATCAGATGTTTTGTGTCGATTTAGAGCTAGTCTAGGTGTTCATGGATCACAGTGAGTGAGTTGTTTGGTGGTTGACGAAGCTTTCAGTTTTTTTTTGTCGTGGATTTTTAGGCCGCTTTCGCTGAGTGCCTCTAACCTGTCCGCCTGACTGACTGACTACATTTCATGCTCCACATCGAACAATACTCTGAATTGACCGCTCTTACAAGCAAATTGAGCGTGTGGCTTTCGTACTGCATTAAATCCGATGACAATAATCATTATGACGGTACATGAATCGGAAGAAGCCATTTTAGGAACAGGGTTTTATCCTCCGCGGAATCCCCGAAAACTTCAGAGAATAACCGGGGGCTCCAAGAGCTACAAGAAATCAGGTTGATTTCAATTCCTAGACTTGCTTCGGCCAGACCTTCTCTGGAAATTTCGAATTGTAGGGCTCGTATGAAATTCCCTACCATGCTCGAAGTAGCTCGATTTGTTCGTCATTCGATCGATGCGCCCCGCGATACTTAACCTCGAGCGCTAGGTCATTCACTCGAAGGTGAAACTTGAGAAAAGTGACCGTGAGTCATGAGACGTGGAATGAAGGGATGATTTGACTGGTATCCTCCGTTGAAGAGTCGTGTCAAAGAGCTGGGTAGGGCCCACTTTTTTATTTGTCTGAATTCCCCGTCCCCGATTCGTTACCCAACACTCTTCCAACCGGAGAGAATTTTTTTCCTTTTTCTGCGGTCAGAAGTACCACAGGAAGCAATGGGTAACAAATCAAGTTTCAAGTATGCACATACTCTGCTCCAGTTTGAAGAATGGATCATTTTTACGATGAGGTGCTTATGGCTCGTTTATGACCCGTTTATTGCGCTGAGGCTATGTCCTGTCGTAGTTTCGGTATAAGCACCAGCAGCGCCTTCATCGTCGCTGCGTTTTCCCCGATAGAGAGAGTGTCGTCGCCGCCGCTGGTGCTGTTGTCGACTTCTTTTGCTCCCTATAACATCCCGGAGCTTTATGGCCTATCGACGTTCGTACGTCCGGTCGCTCGTCCACGGCCGAGCTTTACTCACTACAATAGACGCCGTCGTCGACGTCGCCGCTGAAGCTTACTGTAGAATGGGTGCGGTCTTGAGCACCTATAACAGGTGCTCGGAACTCTCGAGAACATTCTCAGACGTCAACACCGATTCTTATCGATGGGTCGCCCGCGGGGTAAATACGCGGGGACTCGATACACCGAGTATCGGACAACAAGGCGAAAAGTACTACGAAATGTTGACGAGCCCGGTTGTCTGTCAAAATGCGATTAGAGACAGCTTATGCTCTTCACTCCGAAGATAAGCAGCGCCACCGACGCTATCACGGTTGTCATCGGCGACGAATTCTCTTCGATGGCTTCGAGTCAGCGAAGCTTGCTGTGAGAAGTTTACATTCAACCCCACGGAACGGGTCGCGAGATCAGCCAAGCAATAGAGCGGACGACGAACTGAAGTGGACCGGCCGATTGATTGACTGACTGAATCAAGTCGAGCAGCTGACGTGGAGCGGTCGACAATCTTTTAGAAGTGCAGGAATACTGAAAATCCACTGATGGAACCCGCTCTCACGCGGGCTCCGGGTGTGTCAGTATCGCTCACAAAGCGTCGTCCCGAACGGAAAATTGATTCTCCGCCCCTCAACAATGCGTAATTTGCTCCTGAAGAAGACCACTGCGAGAGTTTTGTGCTTTCTGGTCGATTTAGGCCTTTGCGAATCGAGCAGACTTTTCTCTTTGTGGCAAAACTTCGCGCGAGGATGAGGTCGCAATCTCCGAGCGGGAGCAGCTGCCGAATTCTGAAAGTTTCGTCGACAGTGAGTCACGACCGACAACATTCGTAAGGGGAGAACGAAAGTCGAACGTTTCGCTGACCGCTCGGGTCCGGCTTGTTTTAGAAATCAGAGACATCAATGGCACCAGGAGCGGAATGTCTGATTTGACAAGGACTGGTCAAAAGTAATGCGACGAATTTGTCACTATTATCTCAAATGGTCAAAAAGCCTTCACTTGATTGGTGAGCGTGCTGTAGTCGGGTGGTGACGATGACGACGATTATGACGTTGAAGACAGAAAAGAAGAGACAGAGCACGGAACCGATGCGTCGTACTTCTGTGGCAATACAAGCGCCCATATTTATTTTTCTGTCGATGAATCGATCGCTTAGTCGATTGCCCGTTCCGTTTGAGGCTAAATACTCCTGACGGTGCGCTGAACATGGAGAAGAACTCTTAACTGCCTGGTGGATGCCTACGCTCCCGAGCGAAGAAGCTGAATGACAGAAGATGAAATCGCGAGCTCCGCGCGTGTTAGACCGGCACACGCGTCGCTCTTCTGCGGCTGAGCTGAGGTCCGCAGTTGTGGCTTTCCCTTGTTACCGTTGGCGCAGGGGCAGCACACGTCGCGTTGTCTTCCGTGTCTATCTAGTGAAGTATGGGATGGACAAACGACGCAATTGGCAGGCATTGCTTTAACCTGTCTGTTACCTGAAGTTCCCGAAATTAGGCGCAATGGTCCTCAAAGTAGAGCCTGATTGGGATCTGTCGTTCCTGCGATTCTGGGTCCCTTGCTCACGGAATCACCAGAGAGCCCCTCCGTCATCTTTGCCAGGAAAATTTTCGCTGTGGTTTCTGCAGCGTTTCCGTCTGTGCCGCGAGTGCTCTGGCAGTCTCCACTGAGTTCCGCGCCTCGACATTTGCTCGTTATCCAACTTGTGTCGAGTCCGCTAGATTTAATACGACCTGTTAGCGAGTCGTTACAGACCTGTTGCACTCCTTCGCAGAAGGGAGCAAGGGCGCGTTTAATGTCGTAATGGGAGATTTCTGCTCATCTTCTTAACAAGCTACTCTTGCGGCTGCTGTCGTTTGAAATCTGCATAACAATAGCGGGAAGCCGACCGACTGTTTGCTCGGTTGGATGTGTGCTTGGAAGGGTGTCGGCGGATGATGACGGCGCTCTGCAGAGATGAGTTGAAGTGAAGATTGGAGGAAGGGGGCGAGGGGTGCTCGAGGGGGATTTAGCTGCTTCTAATTGTTTGCGCCTTTTATTCTCCGCATCGCTCTCCTACCCGCAGTGGTGAATAATGGGCGGAGTGCCTTAGTTAAGAGCTCGAAGCCTACTTGAAATCAAGCTCAATTGAACGATGAAAACGGCGGCAGACACGTGATAGAATTCGGATTTGGCCAGGGAATTTCCTTGCGATTCTCGATGGTTGGAGAGTGTGTAATTCGGAACTCACGGATTTCCGTCGATTCGTGAGGAACCGACCGCTGCGGAGCTCCGATGTGGTGGGGCGTTCCTATGATTCCACAACGAGGTAACAGTCGCAATCTGAAGAGAAGCGGGAGAAAGGCGCTGTTCGACCATGTATCATGCGATTGCAGTGAGGACAACGATTTCCCTGCAGCACAAATATTTGGAGTAACTTCTCCCGCTCTCCTCCCCTGAGACGAGCACCCGCGACAAAGAGTCGCAGCTCGGGGTGCTGCTGATGATGCCGAGCTAGAGTACACGAGGTTAATAGCATCTTCAACAATTAACACCGTCGATCATTTTTGCTCGGCTTCTCGAGTTGCCTCGCGAGTTTTTCCCTCGTCTACGGCGGATGGGGAAAAGAAGCGCTCACAGCTTGCTTTCCACAAGTCTCCATCGTAACTCGCACGATCATCATTTTCTGAAACCTCCCTTTCGTGGGCTCCGGAAGGGGGCGAGACGGTGAGCTGAGATTTTTTAACTGCCGCGGAGCCTTATTTGTGAGCAGAACTCTCTGTTCCGGCGACGTGGTGAATTAAGAGATTATTCACGATTATCCGCGCAGTCTCCAACCGGGGAGGGTGTCAATCCGTCCATCCTCAGAGCCCATGAATTCTTTCCAGCTTCGATTTACTCCCGATGGTCACGGGCGAGCCTGCGTGCACGAGCTTCCCTAGTCCGGGCACGGGGGCTCCTGTGTACTCACTGTAGTTCCACTTGAGGCTAGTATCCCCCTTGTTTGGTCGTTTCTCACGGAAGAGAATCCTTTCAAAAAACGACTCGCAACCTATGAAAGATGTTCTTATCTGGAGCCCACCTTCATCCGTTCCTTCGCTCGTCCGTCCGTACAGATATACCGCTCCACGCACATGTACGGCTAACCGGCGCATGCTCTTTGAATAAATCAAAAAAGCCTCACGCGATGCCCTGTACATACAACTGTTCTCATCCAACCGTCCATCTCTGCCAAGAATTTCTCCTCGACGAAGACTCGCTCTCTAAATGCAATCTGAGCGAGTTTGCGCATCGAGAAATCTGAGAGGCAAATCGTAATCCATCTCGAAACCGCCCTTCCCTCCCTCCTTTTTCTCATATCTCCGCGCCCGAAATACCGTTTAGAATGTCTTACACAATTATACTCATGGGTTGTGAGGAAACAATGACAACTCGCGCATCCTCCGACGTTGGGGTCAGAGAATTTTGAGTGCGGTCCTCGTGCTCCGATGCAAACTCGGACGCACGAGGAAATGATGGAGATCAGCGCCTTCTCTTGTAATGAGGATTAATGACCATTATGGTAAACAAGTAAGTTTCGGTCTCGTCCATCACTGACCGGGACCATCCTAAGGCTTTGCAGCTGGGGATTAGAGGAGATTTAGCGTCGATTCCTTTCCCGCTCTCCCGACACATCTCCCACTCGTTTGCTACTTCCGACTCTCGGGGAGGTGTTGTTCTCTCGTTGGCAAACATCGATTCTCTCCCACAAATCGAAGTTCATGGAGGGAGACCGGACACTGAAACGATTGCCGGAACCCTTGTCGGCTGGCACGGGGAGCTTTGAAGAAAGTCCCCGAGGAATCCCGACAGCGAGCAGAGATTCAGTGCTGATGCTGATTGACAATTTTCGCGCGGCTAATACGTAATATTTTCTGCTCGGTATTTCCTCCCGTCACGTTCCATCCTGAATATCGAATGGCTGGAGAGCTTCTGCGGCTGCTCAAGCCTTGGTCCCGAGACTTTTATCGTCTACCGGTCGACTGTTGCTACTGCAAAACATCGTAGTCGTAAGCCAGTGTCATTTTAAACTGCGCACTTTATCTCCGGAGACCAGGCCGCACATACTCCACGACATCCACCGGAGAAAAAAACACTGATAAGACGAGAGAGGACCAAGCCATCACTTATTCCGTCCACAACGGAGACTAAGCGGCTGGCTCTACGCGCAAAATTCTTCAATTCCAGTCTCAGGAGCTCTTTCGCCTCAATTCTAAATCATCATACGTATACGCGGCTGGATACCGAATAGTATCTCGTGATGTGAACCTGACCGGGAGGAGGCTGCGGGTCATCATGCTCCGGAGCATTCCGATCAAATACGCAGCGGGGAATTTCGCGCCCAGCTGTTCTTGCGACGAGACTGCTACTGTTGGCGGTGCTTTCGTGGGAGGGTCGAACACTTGCCAAAACATCGAACATCATCCCCCAGGATCATTCCGATGTGAGGCAGGGGTTGCAGACTTGCACGAGCGAGTGAGCGATCGGACGAATGAATGAATGAGTGAGTGAACGCCGCCAGGCCAGCTCAGCATACTCGTCGACCGCATTCCTCCTGCTCAACCCCCGCTGAACTCTGGCCGAAGTTCGGGCCGAGTTGAACTTCCGCTCCTCCTGACATGGTAGCGGGAGCCGCATTGTCATCGCTTGAGCCTTTCGAGCGCCCTCATCAGAACGTACGGAAGCAAAATACGAGCTGTCGTCATACGTCCAAAGAGAACGATTGTAACCGCGTCGCACGAACACGCGAGCCCTCGCACGTGATGGAAATATATTCACACGCATTCATGTGTGCGACGGACCCTCTGGGAGCACAGACACAATATTTTTTCCTCCCGTGCCACCATTCGCCCGGATCCAACTGTCTCGCGACTGGTCTGCGGCATTATGTGACGCGGAGCTTCGGAAGGAGGGCACAGGTTCTTTCGATCATATTTCTACCATCGTTCATTTCTCCCCTCGCTTCCTCTTCCCCCATTCCCGCACCCTCGGCCCTCAGAGATCTCCGCCGTCTCCGGGTCCCGTCTCCCATACTCCTCCCTCTTGCCTGGCGTTCGTTTCATCGTGCTCGCGAGGCGGATGAACGGGCCCACATGCTCTCAGGAGACGTCTTACATCTTTGTTGGGATCTCGGAGGATTTGCGGATTTGCCGGCGAGGAAATTGGCCACTTCGGTTTCACCATCCACTGACCGGGGCGTCCCTTGACCTCGAATTTTTTTTTCCAACACATTCCGGTCGCATCGATGCGGTGCACCCAGGAACAGATCGTGTTAGAATTTCAGGGTTCAGATCTGTGAAATCAATGGGACACCATCCTTGTTTTCCGGAATTGATATCGATTCAGGGGACGATTGCTGGCAGCGCGTTGCAGACTCTTGCCTCTCGAGGAATCAGTCTAACCTTGAGCAACTTGTGGCGCGATCGCGTGTCGGCGCACATCCTGAGTCTAATTGTAGGATTGCTCCGACGCGAACAACGAGATGAATGCTGCTCCTCGATCCAGCCCCCGGTCAGATATACACGGTGTGGCTACGAGCCGACAGACCCGAACTCATGAAGGGATACAATGGATGGAGAGGATGGAACCTGCTCGGGAAAAGGGAAACGAAGGCAACGACAACGGAGCTCGTACCCCTATTTACTCGGAGGCTGGTTGAACGGGGAATTATCGTTCTCGCAGCATCTCTTTCATTGTTGGTCCAGCAGACCTAATGATAACCGCCCCTATCATTTTGTTCTCTGATGCATTGATGACAGTGAACTCGATTTGTTGCTAGATACAACTTCCGCATATTGTCTGATCGCCCCGACCGCATGGCGAACCGAATTATCGTTGTCTTCGGCCTCTCGACTGACCGGGACAGAAGAAGTATCGGACACGGAAATAAGTCCAATAACGATATCGAATATCGATTTAGAATCGTATTGATCGAGAATCCGAGATGTGCATGAGTATTTTTTGAGAGAAATAGAACGGCGAATTCCCGAGTATCGGAAAATTCGGCGTTTGTTGATGAGCATGGGAGAACCTTCAAATCAGGTTCCATGACTAAATACTACTTGTCGTGAATAATTTCTGGTAATCGATTCCCTCTTGATATTTCAGACGTTTCGGAACGAAATGTGCCGGATGCGCCCAAGGAATATCCCCGACTGATCTCGTACGGCGGGCTCGATCGAAAGTTTTCCATCTGAAATGTTTCACATGCCTCGTCTGCCGGAAGCAACTGTCAACTGGTGAAGAGCTTTACGTGTTGGACGAGAACCGCTTCATCTGTAAAGAAGACTACCTCAATCAGAGACAACAGGGTGAGCATCAAGGAAATTCAAGAAAAAACTGTTGGAGCTGAGCAACGATAGCTCTCTCTGATTCGCTCAACGACAGCTCGCGTTCGTGAAGACTTCGTGGGTGACGCTCCTGAAGTAGCCGGTCGACTGTCCGTCGGTTTCCGTCGGAGATCGGTCACTGAATTTTATTCTTTTCTCGTTACTATTCCGCTTGTCTATCGTTTTCTCTCTCGATCCTATTCGAACTCCGCGATGTTGACGATGAGCGACGAGTTTTCAAAGCGATTCAGTCTGTCCGCCAGTCTCTCCCTAGACCGGGCTTGGTGGCTTTCCTCGGCAGTCGCTGCAAGCTGACTGTCTGGCTGACTGACTGACTGTCGGGTTGGCCACTCCATCTCTGGCTGGCCTCTCCAAGAAAAGAAATGTCACAACATCGGCTTCTCCGACTTCATTCTCACGCGACAACAAAGGAGAAGAAGACAACTTTGAACCTCAGATGGATTCGTAGTTAATCGGCGGGACGAAGTTCTTGGCTCGCCTCAGGGAAAACACAACTCTTGAAGGTGAAGCAAAAATGAGATATAAAGGGCTCATTACGGGCTCGACAAGGAGCTCGATCGGACATCGAATGCTCGCGCGACGTGTGAAGAGAAAGGGCCGCACTGAGGAAATCGGATGTCTGATGGTCTGAGGGTCCCGATCTGACCCCAAGGTGCCCACGATGAACGAAGATCGTGTTTACGCGGATCGGAATCATGGAGCCAAGAACGGAAACATTTATTACGAGCTGAATATTTATTACTGTTTTTGTTCTTCATCGACGCGAGAGCGATGGGGAGAGTGCCTTATCGCAGCGCAGAGCAGTTGTCGTCGTTTCGTTAATGTATTCGGAATTGCGTGAGAGCTTAGCATGAAGTAGCTCGGCAGCAGACTGAAGTATCACAAATCGATGTCATTGAGGTTTCGTCGGGGGAGTCGGTGGCATGGCCGGGCCCGACCGCGGGGTTCACGCGTCCGGGGGCAAACATCAATAGCCTAACGGGGCAGGCTAATAAGCCATAATGTGGGTGATGAATATTTCACACGCCGCTGCCGCTGTCGCCATCGTCGGTTTCGTTGTTCATTATCGAGGCTGTGAGTGTGCGTGTATTCGGATGTCGGTCGTACTTGTCGTGTCATGCATTGTGCTGGTTGCAGCATGCGGTCGCCTGACGACAGCAACAACCTGGACCGATGGATAGCCAATCGATTCGTGGCCTCAAACAGTCGAGTCGGACTCAACTTCTCCTCAGCTCCCTCGCTATCCATTCCCGGCAGACGCGCACCACTGGAGGAAGAAGTCTCTCGTCCGCCCCTCAAGAGAACCCATTTCTCTGTGGAAGAAGTTGTCCCGTTTTATTGTTTCGAGGGCTCAGTGGACCAGATGGTCTCCTGAGGGACTCTCCACCGACACCAGGCTCAGATCTATGTGAGAGTTCCCCCCCTTTGGGTCTCGCTCGTCTGCTCAAACTCTCGGTCTGTCCCTTCGGCGACTCGGTCTGACATTTTCTCCAACCTTCATTCTCCGAGGGAAGGAGCTCGACTCGTCTCAGCTTGCTGGATTAAGAAAGCTCTTGAATTCCTTCACATAAAACAGCGAGCAATAGAATCCCCATACTTCGGAAAATGATCAGCTGCGGATTGCGATCCGCGAGTCCGGACACCCGAGAGCATCAAGTATCCACCCGAGTTCCTGGGCGTTGTCGCAAGCGAAATTCGTGCTGATAACGTATTCTCCGTCGAGCCTGAAACTGGATATAGAAAAATTCTGCCGCTTATGTTGGGCTGAGGCGGACGTTCGCATGTCTCTTCGATGCTTTCGCTCATTGAGTTTTGAACTGCGACGTACGTCAAGTCGCCCACGTCCAACGACAATTGGCGAGCTTTCCGACTAACCGAGAGGCTCGAGCGCCCATTTATTTTGATACCGCAGTGCTGTTTGAACGCAGCGCCGCCTTGAGAATTCATTCGACTTCTGCTTCTCTTTCTTTCTGGCAGCGGGTTTGCGCGGAAGGACGGGCGGGCGAAGATTTTTAAAACAATATTTGTCTTCGCGAAAGCCAACGGTAGTAGATCCGTCGGCGAATCGGCTCGCCTGTGGATGACGGGATCAGATATCGTCGTTGGAAGCCGTGGATGCATTCAAATCGAGGGAGAGTTACGACTTAACCCTTATTTCTCCCATCGATGGAATAGAATCCGCCCCCCATCTTCCCCTTCGGAAAAAATGTCATGGGCGTACGATAGAAGTTGCTTAATTTCCCTGCGCGGAGCGTTCACTGAGACAAGGGGTATTGGTGGTAGGTTTTAAAGATATATCCCCGATTTTAGAGGCGTCGTCGGGCGATCGTTGCGGGGTCGGCCGTCGGCTGCGAATAGGCCAAATGTCGTGAACTTTTTCTCTCGTTCAAGAGGAAGACCTAGACGAACAAGACGCACGCTGATCGTTGTTGAATCAACGACAAGCACAACAGCAGAAGCCGCCGGCGCAGCAACAAGGGGCCTAAAGGGGCGGATTCAGACATGATTTGAGCGCAAGAAATCCCGCACGTCCGGTGGCACGACTCTTTTAGAACCTCAAGCAACAGCAGCCGCGGTGGCTCGGACGGCCACGACAAGCTGAACGCAGAATCGAAGCTTTTGAAACCTTCTATTTTTCTCTGCAACACTAAGCTTCGTCTCGAGTTTCAAGAACATTGTCGCCGCCAGCTCTCCGGGACAACAATGGAATTTAAGAACAATATGGAATTAAGATGTCGCAAGGATTTTTCCACCGACAGTTTTTTCTGTTCGCAAGATTTCGACCCTCTCGGGGATTCAAGTTCAGAGGGCTGGGTAACGAGGGGACGCATCTTGGGATAATCACCGAGGGCTCGAAGTCAGAGATATTCCGGCTGTGAATCAGTAACAGAAGCGTATTGGATGCCGCTACAGTAACCCACTCACAGAATCGATCGCTGTTCTCGGCGAACAGACCGGAATCACGCCACGCGAATTCCGTCGTTGACAACTGACGTCTGACTGAATCGTCCACTTACCTTACATTCGTCCACCCGTTTGGGGGGTTTCGACGAATCGGCGGAGCTGCCGACCGTCGAGCGAGTCTGTCCGTCCGTCCGTCATACATTCAGCCAGCCAGTCAGTCAGGCAGCTTCCCTCCGTCAGAAGAAAAACCTCCTCTCGATTTGCTATTCATCTGGCCGGCTTTCTTTTGAATGTCGATGTGCAGCAAGAGAGCGCGTGGTGGGCCGAGATAAACCGATGACTACGCGACTCGACGGAGCTACGCTCGACTATGGAGACGAGAGAGGGCGAGAGGAAACTACGAGGAGAGATGAGGGAACACGGTGGTGAAGCTCCCGAGGCACGCGGGTCGTGGTGCGGGTGTTGAGACTGCTCAAGGACTTGGGGTTTTCAGGGGCATCGGAGCAAATTCATGGCGAGTCCATGCGGGGGAGGGGAAGGGGGCGAGGGGCGGTGGCTGCAGCAGTGGCGGCGGCGGCGAGAGGCGCAGAACGTCTTCCCATGAAATCCCAGGGAGACGGTGGATGTGCAAAGAGAGCGGAGATGGGGTTAGGGATCGGCAGGGGCGAGTCGAAGCCAGAAGCGACAGATCGGATTCCGCCTAAGTCTGTCCTATTCGTCCGGCTTGCGCACTATTCATTTTTTTCCTTCTTCCTCGTTCTCTTCTCGTTAATCCCACCACCACCTGGGGCCCGCCTCAAATCTCCGTAAATCCTGTATCTGTTGGATAGCAGGCGCCAACCAGCATCGGCGAGCAATGCGGTGCCGCCGGAAGCGGCGGAGGCGCCCTTCGTATCGCCGGGTTCGCCAACCTACGACCCTGCAATGCTTACGAGCGGATATCTCCGTCGATTTATTCCTCCGGGTCTTCGATGATTCAAAGGAGCAGAGCGCGGTGGCGGAAGACCGAAAATCGGGAGCGAAAAATTCGAAATTCCGAAGAATCCGCACTCCGAGCCTTGCGCCTGGTCGAGCGCTCTGAGACTCTTCGCGCGAGCTCCTCCGCCCGCCCGCCCGTCCGTCCGAAACGACAACAAGTCGTGGGCGAGTCCTGCTCCGATCGGCTCGGAACACGCACTCCGAGGGAGTCGAGCACCACGACCAGGAAGCCGCACAAGTGGTCTCGAACGTTCAGGGATTCTCGTATGACATGAGTTGTCCCGCTGTCGAGTGCGGCGGAAGTCGCGGCGGCTGCTGCTGCTGTTGAGTTCCATACAGCAATACCGAGACCACGGCCGTGCACACTGGCAAGCAGGCAGACCGGCGGACCGACCGGCGAACGAGAGAACGAACCAACAAGTCCGTGGCAGGAGGACTCTTTTTGTCTTAGGACCCACGCTGAGGAGGCTGTCAGAAACAGACCCCAGAAGCCGGCGCCAACAGCCGGCGAGCGACGACGGGTTCTTTCCGAGGACGATCGCTTTGCCGACAGACTCCCTCGCGATTCTGCGAGCGAGCAGGCATGCGACTCAGTCCGCTAGCTAGCGAGCAAGCCCTCTTGTTCGTCCGTCTGCTGCAACTGAAATTGGAGCTCGCTTCCATTCGAGCTTGTACGTCGACGAAGGGGGCTTAATTCTTTGTCGCTGCCGATTTTTTTCTTCTGCTCGCTCGGCCGTTCGTTCATTCATTCGGTCGCCCGCTCAGTCGATCTGCCTGTCCGCTCGTCGGGCTCTGCGATTCTTGTCGTGAAGGATTTTCAGAACGGCACCGTTGTCGTGCCCGAGCCGCAGTTGCAGCGTCACGTCGATATGACTCGAGGTCGAGACTCGAGCTCGGAGTACCTACTTTCGCGAACGCCCACTGTACCTGACAGAATACGGTGTGAGATGATTTGGATCCGCTAGAATCTAGCGGCTAGATACTGACGTCTGAGAAGAGTGCCTGACCACTTGGTTGAGGAGCCGGAGGGTCGCGAAATATTCCCAAAGTATCCGACGGAGGACGAGGCAAGTCAGAAC